TCAATTCTTCAAGTTGTCACAGATATTGTACACAGGTAAGTTGGGGAACTAGGGATCGAACCCTGGGTCCTACATCAGCTACTTCGAACTGGTGAATACCGTTTCAAACAAGGACACAAGACATATAAGGCATCTGCATTGCATCTGTTGCTCGATCACTCGGGAACAATGCCCATTGGCCTACAGGGATTTATGGACAACATAGCGCATAAGAACATACAGTCAGATGCTGTATGTTGTGCCCTGTGGCTGAACACCTACACTACATGCAACTGTTGATGAACAGATCATGAGTTCATATCATAATTGATATATAACTTAATATAAGTTAATATAACAATAATGTGCGGTGCCAACGTCCTTCAAACACCAGATATATACATACATATGGGCCTACAGGCAGGCAGGCAGGCAGGCAGGCAGAAAATCACACAGGCTTTTAGCCCATGCATTTATCAATAGGTGCCCAGAGCTCCAGCGCAGCTTGACGCATCGCTTGCTGTGCAGCCACAACATTTTACCACCTACAATAAGTCATCTCTGGTTAATTCACCTGCAGGGGACTGATCCGCTTAATTCGCTTGCAGGTGACTGATGATTCACCTCTGGTTAATTCACCTGCAGGTAACTGATGATTCACCTCTGGTTAACTCACCTGCCGGGTGACTGATGATTCACCTCCGGTAAATTCATCTGCAGGGTGACTGATGATTCACCTGCCGGTTCGTTGGCAGCTTGAGACGTCTCGATGAAATTCACGTGCAGCACGAGACATCTCGCCTCGATAAATTCACCTGCAGCTTGAGACATCTCGTGCATGTTGAGACATCTTATCTCAATGAAATGCATCTCGCCTCGATAAATTCACCTGCAGCTTGAGACATCTCGTGCATGTTGAGACATCTTATCTCAATGAAATGCACGTGCAGCTTGAGACACCCTCATAAAGATTCACCTGCAGCTTGAGTTATCTCGGTAAAAATTCCCCTGCAGCTTGAGACACCCCCGTAAAGATTCGCCTGCAGCTTGAGTTATCTCGGTAAAAATGCACCTGCATCTTGAGACACCACCGTAAAGATTCACCTGCAGCTTGAGTTATGTTGGTAAAAATTC